CGGTTAAGTTATAGTTACGGAAAGAATAAACCAGTTTTATTAAGTAAAGACTTGTGTTGCTGAAGTTTCGTCGGTACGAAGTTACGGAAAATCAATTAACAAACGGAGACGTAACAATACAGTAGTTAAATACCTAAACAACACGTACCATCACTGCCTAACAACGTACATAATACAGTAGTTAAATACCTAAACAACACAAAATAGTAGTTCAATACCTGATCTGTCTTACCTTACAACAAAATTAATTATAGTGTTTCATAAAACTATATTTAGTGATACACAATGCAAGCTAAACAAAAGAAACCTCAAAATTTTAAACCTTTAACTATCATGGAATCTTTAAAAATCAAGGTTAAAATATTTTTGGATGATAAATAGTTTAAGTTATTTCGATATATTTATGTATTTTTGAGATTCAGTGCCTGGTATTTACTGAAGAAAAAGGTTTAAGATCTGAAATACCTGTTTAATGCATCCTGTTTATCTTCACTTCTAGCAACGAGTAACAGAAGCCGTAACACAAGTGTCACAGAAACAGGAAAGTTTCCAATAAGCTTTGGCAAATCAGCTGTTATTAATTGTACTACTTTGTCAGGTGGCACTCCAAAGAAAATAACTTCTCCTTTAAGGTCAAACCCTCTTCTTCCTGCTCGTCCTGACATCTGACAGTAATTTAATGGAGTAAGATACTCACTGTCTCCAAGAAATACAACAGTTTTACAAGGCATGTGTATTCCTAATGCAAGCGTTCCTGTAGCAATGACAATGTTAAGAAATTTATTTCGAAACAACATCTCAACAGTTCTTCTACGTTTGATATCAACTCCACCATGATGGTAAGATATGCCTCTACAAAGACTGCTACTAAAATGTTTCACGTCTTTTTTATCAAATGCTTTACAGAGCCTGTCATGTAGAAATTGGGTTTCTTTTCGATCTATAACACCATAGTTTGCATAAGTGAAATCTTGCAAAGGTTTATTTTCAAAAAGAAAATTCACTTTTTCATTTTCAAATGTTTCAGCAACTAGATCTTCAATAGAGTTTGACCTTTCACTAGCATCATTACAGGATGAAGCAGCTTTCAGTTCTTTCTCTTTATCTCTTATACGTTTAATTTTCTTTACTTTTGGTTTCTTCATTTTTTCAGCAACTTTCATTGACTTCGACTGTTTATATGCATCTTCTTTAGTTTTCAACTCTTTTGCAACATAAGAGACCAAATCTTCACATAAGCTGCGGTTATAGCAAAAAAAAATAGCTGGGAATTTTCCTTTGTTTTTCATTTTGTCAAGTAGAGGAAGAATATACTGTTTAATATGGCGTTCGTTTTCTTTACTTATATTGGATGCATTGAATGAAAAATTTTGCTGCTTTTGACTTGTTCCCTTAAGGTTAATTATTACCTTTTCTGCCAAAGTAGTTTTTCCAGTTCTTATCCATCTAATAAAAAGTTCCTTTAGTTTGTGTTCATATTTCTTACAATCTTGTTTGGTTAGAAAAGTTTTGGTTTTGAATTCAAAACCTGGCTCCAACTTTTCTAATTCATCATATTTTGGACAAACAATTTTCATGGCATCATAAAGCTGCAGAACTTCAATAGGAGACAAAGTTACATGTTCAGGAAAACGTGGAAGATTTTGCAGATCCTTGACTTTAAAGAGAGATACTGGATGCACATTCTGCAAGTAATCAGTTTCAGGAATATATTGGTAGTTTATGAGATCAGCATGTCTTTCTTTACAAGTTATGAGAGCAACCTTATATTCACGGCCATGTTTTAGCATACCACTTCGTTTATCACAAATTTGTTTGTAATCTTCTATCTTCTGCAACCAAGCACATAAGCCTTCTGGGTTCCGTATTGTTGCAGAGAGTGCCAAGAATGGACAGCAGATAAGTAAGATCAAATGTTCCCAGACTTCAGCTGCATGTTCTGAATCCAAACAATGAATTTCATCAAATATTACAAAGCGAATTTTCTTTGCCCAATCTTGTCTGTGAGGAGCCAAAAGTAGAATCTCAAAACACTGTGGACTGACCCTGATCGTAGAGTTGACCATTTTATCCCAGACACCTGGCAGCGAGAAATGTTTGATGCCATTGACAGTAATCGAACAACACTCATTGTAGCTCCGACTTCTTCAGGAAAGACTTATGCTTCATACTACTGCATAGAAAAAATTTTAAGAGAAAGCGATGATGGAGTTATTGTGTATGTGGCTCCAACAAAAGCCTTAGTGAACCAAGTTCAAGCCACAATTTATGCCAGATTTGGACACAAAAATATGCCAGCTGGAAGAGCTGTTTGTGGGGTTTTCACAAGAGACTATCGTCATTGCACATTAACGTGTCAAGTACTCGTAACTGTACCTGTATTCTCTTGAAAGTAATGCTCCCATGTGCTCTAGCTGAAACCTAACTGTTTCAATAGATCTTACAAAACTTTCTTTCTTTTGATATTTTTCGTTTACAAAAAGTCCTTCTTTATCAATAATTTCATCTAAGCCTACTTGGAAACAGTACTTACTTATTTTCTTTTTATCATGATCTGAAAGCTCTTTTCTAAGATCTGTGAGCAACACTTTAAGATCTTCTATAAAAACTACAAGATCATTAGGATCCATAGTATTACACTTTTTAAGTTTTTCTTCCATTAAATCAACTAAGACTTGAAGACTTAGTAACAAAAGTTTCTTTTTAATTACTTGATCTACAATTTTACTCAGAAGCTGTTTTACACAGTACAATGCTCCTTTATAATCCTTGTTTCTCTTTAAATCATTAATGTTCTCCAAATTATCATCAACAATTTTTTTTTCTCTTTCCCTTATTTCATTCTGCTTCTTATCTATATTACTTTGTATTATTCTTGCAGCACCTTTAGATATTTTGTTATTTTTTTTAGAAGCCTTCTTGCCTTTATCCTGTACAACAATTGCCTTACAATTAGGATGTCTTCGTCCTTCTAATGAACCACCGTAATACTCCATGAAACGATAATACATTTGTTTCTGTTTTAACCATTTCTTTTTAAGAAAGAGATCAGTAGGAGGGATTTCTAAAAATGAATTTTTAGTTTTGTTATAATCATCAGAAAGCAACCTTTTACAGTGCCAATGAGTGATTTCATCAAAATCATAACCATGAAGCACATTTTCTTTAACCCATTTGTCATTAATGTCTTTTACCAATAAATTACTAGAACTCATGATATCACCAACATACTGATCCATCAAAATAGAAGAAACATTAATAATAAAATCATTCATCTTTCGCCCCTTAGATTCAACAATGCTCAACTCTTCCTTCGTAGAAGATTTTATATTCTGCTTCCCCATTACAGGTAGTGTATCTTCATCTATCTTCAACCCTTCAACTAATACCATATATAACAACATTGTTTTGTCATTCAGTTGTAACTTCCTCTTTTTCTTATAAAGGTAAAAGATGTTAACAAAATGTCGACCATCAAACAAGTCTCCGACTTTAGAGAAACTTCCTGAAGATGATGGTACAAGATTTGTCAAACAGTCTTTCAAACAGCTACACATAAGGTTCCAAAACTCCTGCAACTCTTTTTCTTCCTTTCTGTCAAACTTACGTAATGGTTGTGCACGATACTTTAAAGGTAATGTTACAAGAATAGCTAAATGCAAAGCATACACTTGAATAAAGAATACCATATTTGATTTAATTTTCATAACATTACTAAGCGCCTGACAGGTTAGTAAAACCCTAACATCCTTGTTATCAAAGTTGTTTAAATCTTGAAGAGGTTCAGGGACTAAAGGTAGAGTTTGATAAGTTGATAAGAACAAATTTCTGTATATATTTTGTAAACAACTGCCTTTACAAATTTTCCTCTCATACAGTTTATATAGTCTTTGATGTCTTGTCTCAGAATTACAAAAGTACCCTTTTACTTCTCGAACATCAAACTCAATGCCATCAATGAAAGCATAACTACAACCCAAAGAAAGATACTTTAGTCTTCCAATAAGAAAAATCTCATCCAGATTCTTTATCAAATCTGATGACCGATCTGAGGAAAGAATGAATGATGGACTTTCATCAATTAAATATTGTTCAAACATAGGATCAAATACATCAATAAACTCATCAATAATAGTGATATTCGTATTTCTCTGAAAGTGTTCAATCAGCAACAGTCTTGCAAGTGCAACAGAAGGAACAGATGTCCATACCTTGTCAAAACTTTTGAAGAACAAAAGTTTAAAATTAGCTTCTTTTTCCAAAAACATATATAAGAACCTCTCAAACAAATAAACTAGGTGCAATGGTTGACCTCCAAACTCCCAAGAAAGGTCAGGGTGGAGTAGGAACTCAATAAACAAACCTTCTCCATCAATGAGAAACTGACGAACGTCCGAAAAGTGATTTCGAAGATCTAAGTATTCAATATGAAAAGAAGCAAAAATCTCCTTCAAACACTTTAGTTTACCACTGTTGATGGTCGAAGATCCAAGTGTAGAAGTTTCATTCCCATCTG